GTGTGTGTGTGTGTGTGTGTGTGTGTGTGTGTGTGTGTGTGTGTGTGTGTGTGTTTACCAGCACGTGTTCAGGCAGACTTCCTGACGTGGCGACCGTGGTTGTGTAAACGTTGTCGTCCGCACAGTGAACGTCTCCCACCGTCACAGCCGTCACCTCTGATCAACAACAAGACATTCAAATGTGTTATCAAACACATCTTAGGATCAACATTCAAAGACTCAAAGATATAAAAGGCGTTATCTTTATTCGCACAGCAGCTCAATATGTGACGATATGAAGTCCCAGGCTCCTCCAACAAAGACTTTAAACAAGAACACTAAATACAAAACAATACAAATAGTGCAACTACTTCTACTTTATTACAGGTACTTCAGTACTTCAGTACTCTTGTTATGTTAGAATACATACAATTATAATATCACAGCCAAACTGAAGTATAACACAGAAATATATATATGTACAATTTAAAATATCTCCAAAATGATCATCATATATATATAATATATCGAGTTGTGCAATTAATTCAACAGGTAGCAGATTTTGCAGAGGTGGAGGAAGTACTCAGATATTGTACTTGAGTAAAAGTAGAAGTACTCAGATCTTGTACTTGAGTAAAAGTAGAAGTACTCAGATGTCAATGTAATGTCCCTTGAAGTGATGTATACATGGTGTGTGTGTGTGTGTGTGTGTGTGTGTGTGTGTGTGTGTGTGTGTGTGTGTGTGTGTGTGTGTGTGTGTGTGTGTGTGTGTGTGTGTGTGTGTGTGTGTGTGTGTGTGTCACAGAGCAGAGGAACCACCCTGCAGCTGGGTGATGGTCTCAGTACCCAGAAGGCCACACTGATCGTGGTTCACACCAACGGCAGCATCGTCCAGGCAACCGGCCTCAAATCTGCTGCTGCTTTGGCAACAGGTGAGTTCCAGTACTGACCAGAGGAGGAGAAAGTACTCACATCGTGAGTAAAAGTAGAAGTACTCAGATATTGTACTTGAGTAAAAGTAGAAGTACTCAGATCTTGTATTTGAGTAAAAGTAGAAGTACTCAGATCTTGTACTTGAGTAAAAGTAGAAGTACTCAGATCTTGTACTTGAGTAAAAGTAGAAGTACCAGAGTGTAGGAATACTCTGTTACAGTAAAAGTCCTGCATTCAAAATGTTCCTCAAGTAAAAGTAGAAAAGTATTCTCATCAAAATATAGTGAAAGTAGCGACAGTAAAAGTAGTCGTTGTGCAGATTGGTCCATTTCAGAATAATATATATGATATGTTTTATAATGATTGATCATGAAAGTGTTCTCAAAGCTGGTAAAGGTGCAGCTAGTTTGAATGACTTTGTATTCTGCAGGGTAGCTGGTGGATTTACTCCAGGTGGAACTAAAGTCTGATTTAACACTTGATTATATTTCACATAATTGATCCACATCTGTGAAGTAACTAAAGGTATTAAATACATGTAGTCGAGTAGAAGTACACAATTTACCTCATGTAGTAGAAGTATGAAGTAGCATAAAATGGAAACACTCAAGTAAAGTACAAGTATCTCAAATTCGACTTAAATACAGTACTTGAGTAAATATACTTAGTTACTTTACACCTCTGTGCATTAGTAGAAACTTTGAGTGAAGTTATATATATATATATATATATATATATATATATATAGGAGAATTGTGCAATTAACATTCATCTGCAACTTATATCAATATTCCAATTACTTGCATAGAGACTATTCTGCACAATTTCTATTATATTATATTTCATTTTATTTACTTGCACTACTATCTGTTTTATTGTGTTGCTCTGTTGGAGGAGCCTGTGACCTCAGAAGTTCGTTGTCATCACTACCCTGTAGCTATGTACAAGTGACAATAAAAGCCTTGAAACTTTAAATGAATGTACGGATCTGATTCCCTTCTATGAATAAGAGGTGTAGCAGAGGAGGCATTAGTAGAAACCCCGAGTGAAGCTAAATATATTTATTGGAGAATTGTGTAATTAATGTAAGGATTTATATTGATTCGCTTTTATAAATAAGAGGTGGTGCATTCCCCAGTGTAGCAGAGACATTAGCAGAAACCCTGAGTGGAGCTAACTTCCATTTTCTGTATGTGGGCCGTCCTGCAGACTCGAGGCCTACAACTTGCCTCCAAAAGCCTCCTCGGCCTCGTCTGAGTTCGGCAGGGACTCGGCTCCCATGTCGATGTTCCCCGGTTCCTCCATCACGGAAATCGTGGTGACTTCGGCCTCCGATTCGGTATCCGAGCCCACCTCCTCGTGCTCCACCTCCTCTTGCAACCCGAGCGCCTTCGTGGCCGAGTCGGCTTCGTCCATTTGTTCCTCTCGAGACGACAAGAGCCGAATGAGACCGAGCAGTAAGGAGAGTTTGGACCGAGTGCAGCCGAACCGGAGAACCACCGCAAACACGGAGCCCGGTCACCGACAGAGACTGGAAATAACCCGGAATGGTGAGAGAAACGTGGAGGAATCGGGAGAGCTAATCCGAAAGAGAGGGCGACCGCTCCACTGTTTGTTTGTATCAAGTCATCCAGGAAAGAGATGCACCGGAAACTGCCGAGAAAACACGAGTCAATACGAAGCGACCCAGCGGCCAAAGAGCACATTACATTAAATTACATTACATTACATTGTTACTTGGACGCTTTTCCCCCAGTACTTACAGATTTTCTTAATTTAAATTTGTTTTAAATACAACACTTTTAAACACCTTAATTTCTGAGTGACCACTGATGTCTTGGAATAATTGTTCAATAAAGTTGGAAAGATAACTGATCATTTGTATTACTTCTGCATTAAACAAGCTATTTACAAATGTCTGACAGTGGTTACAAATGGTAACAGAAACTTGGAAGAAGTGTTTTCATTATTGTTATTAATTTGATAACATTTTTTGTTGTCGTTTTATCTAATGTGCTGATGTGAAACCCCAGTTTACATATGTGTTTTTATATGAATACACCATGGTGAAACACTTCTCATTTACTTCTGAAAATAAGTAGTTAATAGCAAAAATTGTAAATGATTTGCTCAAATTAAATCTGTTACCCTGTGTAAACAATGTGAACTGACATCCGGTTGCCAATTCATATATACCTATTATGTGTTATTTTGCAACCAAGGCGGTGGAAGAAGTATGCAGATCCTTCATTTAAGACATAGGCGTCCTTTATATTACTGAGGACGCTCGGGACATGTCCCCACCACTTTAGGAAATGGCTAATTTTGTCCCAACCGCTTTGCATTAGGATAATTTGTTGATTGCAGCGTAGCATATAGGTACTGCACTAGTCGTCAACAAATATATATGGTAAGCATATGTATGGGTATGAGGGGGTCCTTTAATGCAGTAGTGGTTTTTTAAATCGGAAAAAAGTGACCTCACCAAATGACGCCCATAATGTTTTTGACCCAATCTGTAAATAAATAAGATACGAGTGAAAGTCCTGCATTTAAATCAGGAAAATGTGTGCGGAGAATGCAACTTGTGATTTCTACACTAATGTATATTTAACCTGTTTTTGTTATTTTATTATAATATAATTTCATCATTGTTATTACTTATTAATACATGTAAAAGCTACACATGTATCCACATGTCTGTATAGTATCCCCTTTATCTGTAATGTGCAATGTTTCCCTCTGAAATGTATAGTAGTATGAAGTAGCATGACAAGGTAATCAAAGTAAAATCTTTATAATCTCACATCAAACTATGACTATAAAAATAGAAATAAACCCTTCTTCATTTAAGACTTTCTCACATATGCACACAACGTAAATACATCAGGTACAAAGGTCCAAATATACCCAATAAGTAACTAAACAAACACATGTATTGCAGGTGTATTAATAATGTCGTCTGTGCAGAGCGCTGGAATGAAAACACATTCACTCTCCTCTAGACAAAATGTGTATAATTTGACAAAACATCCAATAAACGTTTAACAGAACATCGCCCAAAATGTAATATTAATGAAAATATGGAAACCGTTACCGCCAACACACACAAAGCTACAGAAAACATTGATGTTTAAAGGTTTGTTAAAAAAAATAGACCAGTATGTCTGAAAATGTTAAAGATTATATACATTATTGAACACAGGATAAGTTGTCCACCACAGTTTTCACAAGAGTCCAAGTTGTTGTTTTTAGTTGTTTGGCCAGTCCCAACCTGAACAATATTCACTTTGATTGGATTTAAAATAGAGAAAAGCGTCTAATTAGGGGTTAAAATCTGCTTTCTTTGTGCCTCTTTTGGATTAATGTACCTTAAGAGTTAAAGAAGAAAATAGTTGTTTTTTTCAGTTCCTTCCTGACCCTGACACACCAGGCCGAAATCGGCCGTGTTCGTTAGTCGGACGACGAAGCGTGCCCTGTCGCCCAAACTCAATTTGGTGTGTCCCGCACCGTCGGTCGTGACACGCCTTATTTGGCCTTTCATGGCCGACGCACGGCCGATTCAACATGTTGAATCGGCCGTGCGTCGGCCACAGGCAGTCGGACAAAGAAATCCCTCTGATTGGCTGTTCAGCTAGCGAATCAGTGCATGAGAAGCGAAACGGTTGCTTGAGAATGTCTCCACAAGCAACACTCCAATGGCTGATAGCTCCAGTACCGCACGAAACATGTTTTCGATGGACGAGAGTGAAAATGGAACGCACACGCTATTTGTTGTTTCTTTAGATCACGCAGTCTGTTCTTCTTCTCTGTCTTCCCGGTTGTTGCCTCTTTTGAATGACGAATACACACTACCGCCGCCTGCTGGTAAGGAGAGTTATTGCCGCTCACGCATGCGCAGTTCGTACGTGCTCGGCTGAAGTCTTTGCGGTGTGTTCTAGTGCGACACATGGCCAAGATTCAGGAGAACACGCCGACGCAACAGTCGGCATCGGCGTCAGCGAGTTCTCTGGTGACTGCTTGGTGTGTCAGGGCCTTTAACATGTAGTAAGTGTTTGCTTATAGTCTGCAGAATCAATAACATTGTATACGATGCTAACGAGAGCTATCTACTCTTGTTTACAAATGTATTTACATCACAGTTGATTGACAGTCCTTCAAGACATGACATCATTGCCTTGTGATTTAGAGATCAGCAAGAAACAAAGATGGCGGTGTCACTTTCTGTTCTCCCCAGACGCTGTGTCTCTATTCCTTCCTCTATACTATTACATATCAATTGTCAAGAAATGTTTTTCAGCTGTTTGATAGAAAACATCTTTAAAAATCATTGTTTTGTATCGACAAGAAATTCATGCCAACGTCCATAAAACTTGGAATAATTTAACCTTACCAAGAAAAGCACAATGTTTTCCAGACATTTAATAAATGTTCCCCCATAACCTTTCTGTTTATGTCTCACCACCAAAATCACATTTTCTTTTGCAGCTTTGTTAAGTTTTTTTGTCTTCAATTCTCTGTACTTTTTTTATATAATTTTGTAAACATATTAGAAATGTGCAGTTTGAACACACTACAACGCTACAACCCAAAACGTGCGTCCAATTATTTGTTGTATTCTGGAGGTGAGACTCTTCGTGGGAAGTTGGTCATGATTGACAGGTTCATCAGCCTATCACAGAGCTGCATTCAGGCTCCACCATTCCATTGCCCATATAAGGACTTCCTGAGTACAGCAGGAAGGGAGAAAGGTAAAGTTTAAAAGCCCCAATCAGTCCAATCATGTTTCTTTTAATTGTTTCCAGTGTCTATGGCATGACCGCGCCCATATAAGGACTTCAGGTACAGTTGAAAAGCCACCTTTAGTCCAATCATGTTTCTTTTAATTGACTCCAGTATCTTTATACCAGACAGTACCATCCCCGTTTCCCCTGCTGAGCATTTTGACACCCGCCAACGATTCAACAGAAACGTCCACTTCCTGTTTGTCTTTTTCTCACTTTGGTGCAGAATAAAAAGTATTTTCAGATATGAGTTTTCAGTCTCAGCTCCTGTCTGATGGTGGGGTTTCCCCCGTCAGCGCTGGATCCTGGAGATCATGTAGTAGAGGATGAAGAAGGCGAGCACCAGGCCCCCGGAGACGTAGCAGAGGATGCGCCGGTTGTCTCTGCCGGACCGGACCATGGTGGAGAAACGCTTCACGCTGCCGCTCAGCAGCCCTGTCGCACTCAGGAAGTTCGAGTCCTGAAAGGGTGGAGGACAAGAGGAAGGGAAGGGATGAAGGAGGGGACTCTTATTAAGCATGCAGCATATATTATTGTCAGATTAAAACCACCAGACTAAAAGACAGTTTCACCCCACAGGCCATAAGACTGTTAAACACTTTTGAAAGAACATCCATCCGTTTGCAACTTATATCAATATTCCAATTACTTATATACAGACTATTCTACTATTTTTATTATATTATATTTTATTGTATTACTTGCACTATTATCTGTGTTATTGTGTTGCATTGTGGGAGGAGCCTGTGACCTGAGATGTTCATTGTCATAACTACACTGTAGCTACGTACACATGACAATAAAAGCCTTGAAACTTGAACTGAATCTTGATTGCTGCATTTAGTTGGTTTTTGATGGAACATTGTTGTATAGCAACTTGAAGTTAGAGTTGGAGTATATATATATATCCTTTATTTAACCAGGTAAAAGACTCATTGAGATTAAAATCTCTTTTCCAAGAGCGACCTGGCCAAGAAGGGCAGCATGTACAAAGTTACAACAGATGAAACACAGACATGACAGGCAGACAAATACAGCTGTAAAACACAAATAAAATGGCACATTAGCCAGTCAATATGCGAAGTAACACAAACTATTAAAATCATTCAAAACTGGCAACATTTAAAACGATTTTAGGATATACGAGCACTCACATCTACCAATGGTGTCGTGTTCTCTGTCCTTTAAGATGGACCTGAATTCCCCCATAGTGATTACATCTGAGAGTTTCAGCATATCTAAAAGCTGTTTTACCCAGTTTTGTTCTCACTGTAGGGACCAGCATCTGAATAAAATCTTGGGAGCGCAGGCCATATAGACTTTCTCTTTGACACATATGTGCAGTAAATGTAATCTGAGGCTGAAATGTTACCGTTTTCCTTTATTTTGTATAAAGCCTATAGTTAGGGCAGGTTTCAGGCTTCCCCAGAACATCCTCTTGGGTCATATTATTTTTATTTTATTGTTTTTTATTTTAATCTCTTGTATTTTAGATTCTATCTTGTAATTTTAATATATTTTTCTAGACATTGTCAATCATGTTTGTTGATCTGTAAAACCCTCTTAGACAAATGTGTGTTGGGATATTGGGCTATATAAATAAAAATAAAATTTTTATTTATTAAGGTTACAACTTTTTTTCTTATGTTGTTTATGTCTGCTCCCCCATACACCAAAGTAAATTCCTTGTAAGTGTAAAGGTACCTGGCGATAAACTCGATTCTGACTCTAACTTAGGAGGAGTAAATGTCGTCCTATATTTGATTCAACCAACTATTATTTTAACTCCATTTTAGCTCGATAACAAACAAACAAAGCCCACATGTTTATCAGCCTTACAGACAGGATGGACTCACCATGCCGTCCAGATACTCGTTCTGATCTTCAGCCTCTCGGTCGATGTCATACGCCAGCTGGCAGATCCAGAGACAGGACAGAAGACACAGTTCAACCACTTATATTTATATTGTCTATTGTTTTGTATTGACCTATATTGTCTTTGCAAGGTGTGAGTGTAAAACCTCAGACTGAGGATCGGACATACAATCTAAATATATGTCATAAGAAAGTTGCTCAAATCAAAGCCACTAACTATTAATGTATGGACTTAAATGTTATATGGAACTTATATTATGGAAACATTTTCATTTTCCCTCAAAGTCTGACAGTACATATTTTGTTCTAATTTATTGTACTTGAATAAGTGCATTCAAACGATTAGACGGACGATAGCTGGTTTTATAGAATATATAAGTGTGAATATATAATGATATATTATTTATACTCATACACCAGCTTGTATCTATTCTAAGGGGAAATGGAAATGTTCAATTGTAAATAATTAAAGCTAATGTTATAAAAAGAAAACCTTTGGGAGGGCCAGTCTCTTTTCTTAATGTGCATAATGTTATGTGAATGTATCTGCAGTAACACTTGTACTGTTGAATGATGAATGTGACACTTATGCTATTCAATATTACACATTTAATAAAAGAAAGAAAGCAGATTTCGAAAAAGGAATATAAAGAGTGGAGGGTCAGGAACAGAAATGCAAACATCTGCCTCTGAATTAAGACGAGAACGTTGTCTATGTTCACGTCAACTTCTATGTATGTTGTTTTCTATGAATACAGGGACTCAAGCGTCACTTAAACACATCAACAAACCACTCAATGAAACTTGACTGTAACGAGAAGAACTGTTGGGGACTCACAGATTTCAGTCTGGACACTTTGCTGGCGAGGTTATCAGTCAGGCGCTTGTTTTCAGTGTCCAGCATGTCGTCCACAGAGTCCTGACCTGCAGACACAAGAGGAGCATAATTAAGGAATGTGCCTATGTACGCTAGAAGGACATAATCATAATGTATGACAACATTTCCATCAAGTTAAACTGAAAGAAAAATGACTTTGACTATCCCATTGCAGCATCCTTATGATATGTTACTTCAGGGAGGTAAAACTCTCAATTTTAGTTCAGGGGCCACATTTTCACATCATGTGCCCCTAAAATCATAGCAGCATAATAATCTACAAATAACAACAACTCCAAATTGATCCTTTTGTTTTAGTGCAACAACATTATGGATAAACCAGGAGACATCCTTAAGAAAAATAAGTGTAATTTCAACTGTTTTATGCCTAAGTGTATCACTTACACCTGCATTACAACGTACAGATCCAAATGTATCTACAAAAACATGTAGTACCCGGTATCTGGAGTTATAGTATTTTACTTTATGATCAAAACAACTTCAAGATCTAACAAAATATTTTACATTCATTTCCACATCTGTGTAGTAATCCTGACATACCATCATACAAAGTGCTAATACTTGTGTACTTTTACTTGAGTAACATTTTGAATGCAGGACTTTTACCTGTAACACAGAGTATTCCTACACTCTGGTACTTCTACTTGTACTCAAGTACAAGATCTGAGTACTTCTACTTTGACTGTAATACAAGATCTGAGTACTCCTCCCACCTCTGGTACAAAGTAGCCTAACATGGAAATACTCTGGTAAAGTACAAGTACCTCAACATTGTACTTAAATACAGTACTTGCGTAAATGTATTTAGTTACTCTCCACCACTGCTTGAAGTCTCAAACAGCTGATAACGTTAGTTAGCCTGTTAGCTTAGCTTCAGTATTTGCCTGTAAAAGTGAAATAAAAAGCGAGACACTAAACACACTTCCGGTCTGACTTGTCCTTTAGGTTAAACACCCCATCATTCATCTGTAACATGAACCCCGTCCTGCTGTAGAAGGTTAAAGACTGAATATTTAGAAGTGAGGACGTGTCAAAAACAATACCTCTATTCCAGTCCGCCATGTTGACGAGTGACGTCACGATCAGCTGTTCTGCGGGTTTAGATGACGCAGGTGACGTGCCATGACCACACCTCCCGGAAGTGAACTGCCGTTTGCTTTTGTTTTTTTACAAACAACATGGCTTTCAGATTCTTCAATGAAAAGAATAGAGAAAGGACAGAATGGTGACCTAATTAAACAACTAGCATTTTTGTTTTTCATTATCTTAAATGATCTCAAAGGGCTTAAAAAAAGAAATAAATTATTTGTGAAATACATCAAATATAGGACTTGCTTTTATGAATTTGGATTTATGAATATCTGCCCCTCTCTTTGATGTTTACTAGCACTTCCTGTCAGAGTCTTTCTGAAAGAATCATCTCTTTAAAACAAGACCCCCCCCCCTCAAATCTGTTCTAACCATTGGGATAAAAACATGTGTGTCTTTTATATATCAAGGTGGCCAGTGTGTGCAGCGAGTTGACTATAAGTGACCACTGGGTGGCAACACACACACACACACACACACACACACACACACACACACACACACACACACACACACACACACACACACACACACACACACACACACACACACACAGAGAGAATAGTAAGCTGATCCCAGCAGGCCAACTTGCCCAGTGGCTGACTAAACCAATTCACCCAGAATGTATTCTTTATGAAATTATTATATCTATTTGAGCTGTTTTGTTTACCGTCAGACCTGAAATGTTACATGCTATTGTTGATTAAACAACAGAAATCCAGTCATGGTTTTGTGTCAGCTTTGGTCTCCATTTTTTCCATGTGCGTCTTTAAAGTTTTAAGGCAGGGGTCAAAGTTCGGTGTGATCACACTACCGTGCAAAAGTGAAACAGGGATAGCAACCTGTGTGTGTGTGTGTGTGTGTGTGTGTGTGTGTGTGTGTGTGTGTGTGTGTGTGTGTGTGTGTGTGTGTGTGTGTGTGTGTGTGTGTGTGTGTGTGTGTGTGTGTGTGATGTGTGTGTGTTCAGTTAATCCTCCTGTGTCTCTATGTGCCGTAATCCACCTGTGTGTGCGTGTGTGTGACGGTCACGTGTGTGTTTGTGTGCCACCTGACATCAGACAGCATCACTGCTGCTCAGAGTGGGGGAAGGGAAGTGTTCAAGAGTTGCGTGTGTGTGTGTGTGCGTGCGTGTGTGTGTGTGCGTGCGTGTGTGTGTGTGTGTGTGTGTGTGTGTGTGTGTGTGTGTGTGTGTGTGTGTGTGTGTGTGTGTGTGTGTGTGTGTGTGTGTGTGTGTGTGTGTGTGTGTGTGTGTGTGTGTGTGTGTGTGTGTGTGTGTGTGTGTACAGGATCGATATTCCATTAAGAGGGTTGCTAGGCCGTGTCTTGCTGGTTGCTAGGGATGCCAAGCTTGAGGGTGTTCCACTTGTTGCCCACCTTGTTGTGCTCTCTGTCATTACGTCTTATCCTCAAGTCTGTTCGGACGAGTTGTAAAGAAGCAACTATACGGTTTCGCCCGTGGGAAATCATTTCAGAAAACATATGTCCACTAGTCAACAACAAGAGACTTTTTGGTCATGTTTGTCTTTCTAGGTGAAGAAACTCACAGTGAGTGGTATTAAGTAACATTGATTTGATATGAAACTGCTCAGAAAACAGTTACACAATTCCTATGATATAACTCTCTCAAATCGAGAGTGTTTCTTTATTTTAAAAGTATTGTCACAGTCTTACACGTCAGCAGTTATGTTACAAATGTGATCTTTTGCAAAATAAGGTCCCATTGGGTCTCTAAAACTCCAATGGGAGACAGAACATTTGTCTATCAAGCCCCTCTTCTGTGGGACCGGTTTCCAGTTTGTGTTCAGGCAGAAGACACCCGTAAGAGTAGGCTTAAGACTTTCCTTTTTTATAAAGCTTATAGTAAGGGCTGGCTCAGGCTTGTCTTGAATCTCTTTCTAGTTAGGCTGCTCAACTGTCAGAGGTTTCTTCCATTTCCCCCGTTAACGGTGGGGTTGCTTTTGGAGTTTGTCCATGTCCGATGTGAGGGTCTAAGGACAGAGGGTGTTATAATGTAAAATGTGTGATATTGGGCTATAAACTTTGATTGATGTGTGTGTGTGTGTGTGTGTCTGTGTGTGTGTGTGTGTGGTGTGTTGTGTGTGTGTGTGGTGTGTGTGTGTGTGTGTGTGTGTGTGTGTGTGTGTGTGTGTGTGTGTGTGTGTGTGTGTGTGTGTGTGTGTGTGTGTGTGTTCTGCTCAGCAGGAGGAGCTGCAGCCACAGTCTCTCTGGAGCTCACTGAAGCCACAGATTGTCTAATTAGATTAAGCGAGGCTTTCCTCAGATAATCATTTAGCCGGCTCCGTTGTTTTTCCTCCGATGGAGCGCTGCTTGTGGCTGTGAGCTCGCTGAAGGTCATACCGAATTTCTGAACAAAAAAAGGCTGATTTTGGGAGTACAATTTGTGGTCCTGGAGGATCTGTGGCCGGGTTATGGGCTGTTTCTGGAGCTGTGAGTGTGACGCTGCTCAGAGTAATCAGACGGCCACTAATACCTGCTGCTGCTGCTAACAGGAGGCGATGGGGGAAGTTTCTGTGAGTAACGCTCAGCTTCTCCGCAGAACTGAAGTAATGAAGGGACAATAGTGTTTGTATCAGAGAGGATTATAGCTCTGACAGGTGTATGTTTCCTCATTGTGTATGACCGGTTGTTAAGTCTATTCAACTGTTGATTACAGGTATAGCTTGCATGCTGCTGGGATGACTAGCTTGTTATTAACTAATCAAAAGATAATTAAAAACCTATACATTATCCCGTTGCATCCTCTCTAATGTAACCCTTCAAAGGTTTCTGTATCCTGGGGGTAAGGGTCATTTCACAGGTTGACTCCATGTGTAAAATTGGTGTAATAACAGCGTAATTACCGTGTTATATGTGTGAAATATTGGTGTTGTATAATATGGGTCTAATAACAGTGTAATTACTGTGTAATATTGGTGTTACATGGGTGTAATTTGGGTCTGATAGCAGTGTAATATGGGTGTAATAACAGTGTAGTAAGAGTGTAATAACAGTGTAATGTTGCTGGGTATAAAAACTGAGTATTAGGGCGGTATTACGGGTGTAATAATGGTGTAACAGGGGTAAAATAGGAGTGTATTAATGTGTAATATGGGGGTAATAACAGTGTCATATGGGTGTAATGTTAAAACAATTAGTAACTTGACTGTTGGTTGGACTCAATAAAGAAGCTTTGTGCAGCGAGAAAGAACAAATACTATCCTCCAGTTTGCCCAGTTGATCTGTGTTCAGCCTGCTCACCTCGCTGCAGGTCTTTTCTTGAACAGGCTGCTTCTCTCTCGCTCAGATTAAGCCTCGGCTGACTGATTGACACAGATTACAGTTGAAGCACAGAGGTCACAACCTTTGAGGAACAGATATAAAGGCTTTTCCGTTCACACATCAGCAGGCGCAACACACTCTGCACTCAGAGTCTGTTCGTTGTGCATCAACTATTAGGTTTTTAGCTGATTTCTTTTCAACTATATGAGTCCAAAAATAATGTTATATCGGCGTAAAAACAGTGTAATATAGGGGTAACATTGACATAAGTAGGTTCATAATGGTGTACCATGGGTGTAATAATGTGTAATATTGGCGTAAGAGGGGTGTAATAACAGTGTTATATGGGTGTAAGAGGGGTGTAATAACAGTGTTATATTGGCGTAAGAGGGGTGTAATAACAGTGTTATATTGGTGTGAGAGGGGTGTAATAACAGTGTTATATGGGTGTGAGAGGGGTGTAATAACAGTGTTATATGGGTGTAAGAGGGGTGTAATAACAGTGTTATATTGGTGTAAGAGGGGTGTAATAACAGTGTTATATGGGTGTAAGAGGGGTGTAATAACAGTGTTATATGGGTGTGAGAGGGGTGTAATAACAGTGTTATATTGGTGTAAGAGGGGTGTAATAACAGTGTTATATGGGTGTGAGAGGGGTGTAATAACAGTGTTATATGGGTGTAAGAGGGGTGTAATAACAGTGTTATATGGGTGTAAGAGGGGTGTAATAACAGTGTTATATGGGTGTGAGAGGGGTGTAATAACAGTGTTATATGGGTGTGAGAGGGGTGTAATAACAGTGTTATATGGGTGTGAGAGGGGTGTAATAACAGTGTTATATGGGTGTGAGAGGGGTGTAATAACAGTGTTATATTGGTGTAAGAGGGGTGTAATAACAGTGTTATATGGGTGTAAGAGGGGTGTAATAACAGTGTTACAACGGAGCACAATACTCTACACTCAGAGTCTGTTCGTTGTGAATCAACAATTAAGTAATTAACAGATTTATTTGAACTACTTCTGCCTTCAATGGTTTCTGTATCCTGTGAAGCTCATGCAACCCTTGTATATGATTATAATTTAAATTAAGAGCACACAGTTCCCCGTTATGTATTTTATTTTCACAAGCAGTTCTTATTTGACTTGAAATGATCTAAGATAATGATTAGAGTGTAAACCCCACTTTATCAGAAACAAATGTAAATGACTTTGGTGTCATGCGACCAGTCCTAACTGCTGCGGCCAATCAGGCACCTTTCTGTGGTGACACTTCTGTATTGTTTTACTGATCTGTTTTCTCACAAGATGTCTGAAATGACCTCTTCTGCCTCTCCCTCTGCAGGCACAGAGTCCCTGTCAGGCCAGATCTGCACCTCAGGCTGAATACTGAGTCTGTGTTATTTATTGGGAGGCCTCTGAAGAGTCCCAGAGGAAGCAGACATGGCCACCAACTCTTTTCGGGGGTCCAAACATGGGCGGCGTGGCGAGACAAACCACGAGGCGGAGTTCAGCTGCTCTTTGCAGGAGCTGCGCTCCGTCATGGAGCTGAGAGGAGAGGAGTCTCTCACCAGGATCAAGGAGAGCTACGGAGACGTGAACGGACTGTGTGCCAGACTGAGGACGTCACCTATCGATGGTAAAAATGCATCTGTGGTTCTTTTCTTTTAAAGGTCCCTATTATACTGTTTTTCCTCAATATATTACAGGTCTCAGATATATCCAGAGCCTGTCTCTGATTGGCTGAAACACCAAACAGATCATTGCAGCATCCCATAATC